GAGAGAGAGAGAGAGAGAGAGAGAGAGAGAGAGAGAGAGATTTTGGAGCAACAAATCCAGGACCTTACTCAGGAATTAGATGAATTACGTCAAAAATATCAAAAAAATTAAACCTGATATTAGTATTAAACAATTAGAAAATTATGTTGAACAATGAGAAGAATTAACTGAAAGCAAGCCAAAAAAGCCGAAAATAGACAAGCCAAAATTAAAAGAATTAAAAAAACTGGCTATTGCTTTACAAAAAAATAATTGAGAATAGATAGAAAATTTAAATAAAGAAACCTTAAAAAGTGAGGAAATTTCCCAGTTAGTTCAGCAGTATAAAGAGATAAAAGACGAATTACGAGAACCTTGTTATATTACTTATCATGAAAATAATGTTATTCAGTTTACTTACCATAATCAGAAAGGAGCAGATTTAGAACAAGAAAATTATGGTTTTTTATATCGAAATAAATTATATTTCATTAGTAAGTTTACTTATATTGATAATGCCAAATTGTATGTGAGAATAGAGGCTTTTGTGGATAAGATTTATTTGTATTATGCTAACTATCTGAAAAGCCCAGGCACTATCAAGTTAAATCGAGCCCCCTTATTTTTAGAAAGCAAAGAAAATCCCCTATCAGAAAGCAACAAACTCCATTATTCTTTTTGTAATGATAAAGGGAATTTAGTCATTGAGGAAGTAAATAATCCTGATATTCAACCCCGATTAAAAACTGTGGTGTTAGATGCAAAAACAGACATCAGTAGCCAACATTTAACCAGTTTTAAGGCTGGTCCGAATAAATGAGACCCTGATATCGTAACTAATTTTACCATGACTGATGTGGATACAGTGGGAGGAGCAGCCAGTTATCTTGCTAATTGGTGAAACAGCACCACCATGGGAGGACAAACATTAGCCTTTTTAGCCCCTTATGACTATTATGCTAATAAATCCGTCCAGTATGTTTCATTTAGCAAAGTAAGTGGTAATAAAGGTAAGCCTGAGGAAATTACCCTGCCCTCGGTCTACAATCAGTATCCCCATTTAATCCATGAAAGTGTCGTCCAAGTTTTCTTTTTAAATAAATTAGTTCACACAGGATTTGTGAACTACCCACCACTTATAGAAGTGGGGGCTTCTCGGTTCCTAGACAAGGCTATCACCTAGTCTCCCCGAA